GCTAACGCTCGAGCGAGCGCCCACGGTCAGGGAAGCCCGGGGCCCCTTTTCTGCGGTTTCTTCACGCCTTTGCCTACGTTCTCCCCCAACGCAGTTTTCCCAAAATGCAATGTTTGTCACCTCAGGATAAAGAAAAACTGTCAACAAAAGCCCGTATAAAATGGTACATTGTACGTTGTTCACCCCTTGTGCACAAATGCATCTCAGTGGATCGAAGGTACTTAAGAGAAGGATGTATTTTTTATCCGTTGTATGTGACGCTTCCAGCAAGGCAACTGTGAATAACTTCTGACTGGATTTCTGAGATGCCATCCATGTTCTTCTCTACCTATTTGGAGATAGCTCTGTCCCCACATGGAAGAGGGTATACTTCTATACGTTAATCTACCTATTTGGTGATAGCTCTGTCCCCACATGGAAGCGGGTATACTTCTATACATTAATTTTAAATGTGTGTTTTTTTAAAAGTAATGGCAAAGTATAAGAAACGCCGACGAAAACAGAGAGCCAGAGCAAAAATTCTACTGGGAAAAAAAGGAGATGCTGGTAACCCCCAGGGCTCGGGTTGTCCTTCTCCACGGTAAGAGGCTCAGTTGGAACTTCTCCTTTTAACTCAACTGCGGGGTCCACTGTTTGCTCCCCATGGCTCACAGAACTGAGGTAACGCAATTGCGTTTGGAGCCCATCTACATCCTGGCATGGATGCTGTGGAACTGTTTCATCTTATGTATCTTCTAGTACTCTATCTATCGTTAACTTTAATGTGCCGGAAAAGCAGTTTGGATAAAAACCTACTGCAAACACGATTCCCCCCATCGAAACGTATCTTGGTCTTTCCTGGTCTCTGTGCTCATGTTTACTCCGTTGTCACCTGCTGTTGCTGGTACTTGCAATTTCCAGGTGATTGGTCACACTTATTGTTTCAGCCTTTAAAGAAGTTAACTATAATTATGGCCTCATTCTGAAACGTTCTGTCCCAGGTCAGCAGGTGATCTTCCCCCGAACACATCACCTGTCCCAAGCCATCTGTCCTCACTCTGGTCATTAGCCTTGCCCAGCGTAAAAAACGTGGTAAAACCCTTTACAACAACAGCGTCATTTTTGTATTGTTGGTGCCAGAACACGGTTGTACAGGTAAGTTTTCTACTTCTCTGTTTTTGCCAATGTGTGAAATTGTTCTTGGTGCTCAGATGCAGGATATACAGTCAGATTTGAGAGCTGTATTTTAGCTGTATTTTATTTTATTGAGAGCTAAATTTAGGCTGTAAATTTACTTATGTCTATTGAAACATCTAAAGAATGTTTTGTGTTTACTGTTGAAGGAGTAAGTATGAGAAGAGTGTCAAGGCAACTGTGGACATTAAATGCACATGTGAAATTGTAGGGTTTTTATTGCAGCATCAGGAGGATTTGCAGGGTGCAGTCTTTCTTTCATAGCAGAAATGATTGTATGAATTTTTCAGGTCAAATGTGAATTATACTTTAGAATTCGTAGATGAAGGGTTTTTTTGGAGAAAGTCACTCCCTGGGTTCCTGCCAAGGAAATATTTGGTGAAATTTTGTATCTTTGTGTTGTGCCTTTCCATTGATGACAACGAGAAGACCTTGCGATAGAACTTTCAGTAGTAATCATAGCCCTGTCTCTGGAAACATAACTCGGTGGTGAAAATGCTTATCCGCTTTCTTTTTACGCTTAGAGTTTTAAGGTGGTTAAAGACACCATATTTCCATCACAAATCTACTTAAGGGAGCTAAATACGTTCAGAGAGCAGCTGGAAAAGTTGGAAACTGAATTTTCCAGACTACAAGGAACCCTCCAGGTCAGTCTCGGTCCCAGTGGGGCAGGGTAATGTTGGCTTGTGTAAGCATGTAAGGAGCTGTGGTCAGTGCAGATAAACTGAAATCTTAAGAGCTTCTTATCGGGCATTGTTTACCTCTTCTTTGCGTTCAGCATTACTAAACTGTGGTTACTTCACAGCTAGAGGGAACTGGTTTGCTGGCGAGTCTCATAAGAGGCTTTTTATGTTTTTCTGGATCAACTGAAGCCAGAACCGCTGTTCTCTGAAATTCCATCTACTTTTGCCACTGGATTTAGTATTATTTATTTATATCGTTTTCAGATGAATGGAATTGCAGCTTTGTCTTCAGAAAATTCCCTTTGTCAAAGGTGTAATAAACCAGTTCTGGGTGCTCCTGTTCAAATGCAGACGGGCCCGCCGTCATCAGCATCTGGGCCTTCTGCAATACAGCTGCAGCCTGTATCTGCACCCCCTCCACCTCTTCCTCCGCCGCCACCACCACCACCACCACCACCACTGCCGCCACCAAAACTGCCTCCAGCACCTCTCCTCCTCAAACGGGGCAACGGCTCTAAAGCACTTCTGGTAGGGACTAAGAAGGTTCCTCTATTTCTTCACTTGTGGCTGGGTTCTTTGGGCCTGGTTTCATCAGGAATGTGTGTCTTTGTGAATGCTCAGTCACTTGCCGATCCTAATTTCCCTTCCAACCACTTTTTTTGTCAGGCACCATCACTGAAAAAAGATGGGCCGATGCAGATCACTCTCAAAGATCTCCTGAACGTTAAACTGAAGAAGACGGACGGCAACCTGAGAATGGACAAGGTAAACCGGAGGACACATGGATAAGTGGATGATGGCGTACTGGGGCAAGCTCCACGCTGGAACTGGTGTATTTCCTGCAATGCTTGTCTTAGCCCCTCATAGAATTTTTTCAAGAAACTAATTCTTCCCTTCCAAAAACCCAGTGATCAGCTGTAAGTCATCCTTCTATTTCTGCCCGTGGGCATCAGAAGTGAAGGAATTAAGTGTCTAACTCCAATCTCAGCTGGCATGCAGGACACTTCTCCTAATTTTAGAGAAAGCATGTAGCTTTCATGTAGCTTTATGTCTGTGTGTTATCAATAGATTTGGGGCTTTCTTTTGCCCAGCTGAAATCTTGTTTGCAGAAGTTTTTTTAATAAATCTATTTTTGTCCAAGGCACATTAAAATCTCGATGATTCAAAAAAGCATAAAAGCCATAAACCATGGAAGTCTTTCAAAGTATAAAGATTAAATAAAGGTCAGTGAGGCCTTCTAAAGTTTTATTAGTGGTAACATTTCTTTTCTCACATTAGGCAGAATCACCGGTGAAGACACGCAGGGGATTAATTACAGTCTCAGATTTACAGAGTGTTAGTCTGAGACCTAAATCCAAGCCATCAGCTCACGTTACAAATTCCTTAATGTAAGAGGCTTTCTTCCTTTCTTTGATACTAGATTTCCCTGTTCCAAACAGTGATGAACTCTATTTACAGAGCAGAAAATATTTTAACGATTTTTTTCTGTTAGTACCCCTCCTAAAAATCAGTTAGATCTTCGAAAACACCTGAAGAAAGTCAATGTACAAAGGTAAGTTCCTTTCTATTTTCTTGTTTTGTTTTTCTAGAAAAAGTAGAGAACTGATCGTAATTCGCCTTGTTTCCAATCTTTCCAGAAGTCCTGGTGGTACTCCACTACATAGTAAAGAAAACATTGAATGTGGGTCTGGCTTGACACCAATAATGACGCAGGCGCTGCGGCGCAAATTTCAGGCAAGTCATGATGTGTCTCTCTTCGGAACGATAAACCGGCTTTAAAATCCACGCAAGTTCACACTGATTTTTTTTTCCCTACAGTGCAGTGCCGTTGGTATGTGTTTATCTAAGTACAGTCTCTCCATAATTCTCCTCCAAAAGCCCCAAGTACCCGCAAATAGGGGCGCTTAGTTTTACCGATTCCCATTTTAATGGTAAGGAAACTGCAGAACGGAAATGCCATTGCCTGTCTTTTCAGCAGGTTATTCGACAATGCCAAGAGGAAAAGTTGCTTTTTTTTGATGGCCATTCTAGTGCCTCGATGCGATCTCTAACTTCATAGTCCCAGCTTGCAGGAGAACAAAATCTGAGGGTTAATAATGGCTTTTATTTTAAGGATTTGCCACGTCTGTTTTCTTTTCTGGTGTCAGTTAAGAATTGCACTATATTTTACCTCAGTCGTAATTAGTACTAAGTTCATATTCCAAGATCTGACCCTTTTCTTACTTTGACAGATGGCTCATCCGAAGAGTCCCTCGCCTGCCCGGTTAAGTGCTGCAAACAGCTTTGATGAACAGACGTAGGTCCATGGAACAATGTATTTTTCATTTGTGGTCAGGACTTGAAATCCCATTTTTACCTCGCTCAGGCATATGTGTTTGTAAGTAAATCTAGCGTGTACGAGAACGGGGCATTATTAAACCCCTTTTGCAGATTTCTGCTTTTTAAAGGCAGCGTCTTTCTAACGTGTCTCAATCAGGTTGCATCTTCTTTCTTAATGGGGGGGGAAAAAAAAAAAAGCAATTTCCTGAGTCTTTTGATACCTGGCTGCTGCTGCTGAAGCAGGGACTATTACGTTCCCAGCGCTGGTGTAATATGTCTGTGCGTGTTTGCTGAAATTCAGTATTGTTTTTACTCTTTTTTTAACAAGAAAGATCTTGACGGTAACTACACAGGTTCAAAGAAAAGCGGCAGCTTTAGCACTCTGATGTTATTGAAGTGAAAGGCCGCGAGTTTCCACAAACAGTTCAATTTTGTGTAAGAGTGTATGAAGCAATCGCAGCATGTATCGCTTGTGGCTGGTGTCGGATCCACCCGTCACGTTAAAAGACTGCGCCGCTTAAAGACAAGGAACCAAAAGCCTCCTCGAGTTTACGGTCAAGCTCTCCAGGAGCTACGGTGGTGGACAGACGACGCGCCTGTAACGCCGCTCCAGGTCGCGCCTGTACCGCCGCTCCGGGTCGGGACAAGGACCTGCTTTCGCCAGCCGCCGAGGCGCTTTCCAGAGAGATGATGGTAGAGCGCGAGTTCTCGTGGCAACGGCAGTGACCCGCCATCCCGGCACGGTCTGTGGGAGCACTGCCCTCCCGGCCGGCCCCGCGCCTTTCAGGGGGAACCACCGCACCCCAGAACTGAAAAGCGGGGCCGTGAGATTTCCACGGTCGATGACGTGCTGCCCAATACTCAGCTACTTCACTGTCTCATCGTTCCCGGCTTATTGCGAAGTGTTGCCGTGGTGCGCCCCCCGCAGCCCCGCTCCCTCCGCCCGTGCCTAGGCAGACCCCCCGCCCCCTTTCTGCGTGGCACCCACCGCGCTTGAAGGGGC